GGTGAGGTGACAGAGCTCCTAGCCGCAGGACACAGCCTGGCTCTCTCCCTCCTGCAAAAATCAGATGCTGCTTTATTTTCTCTTTGCTGTGCTACATATGTAGGGGACCATCGTGTCTCATACACAGTGATTTCTCAAAGAACATTTCACAGCAATGTGCTGTGGGGTTTGTTTCATAACTGCCTACAGGTCACGGCCGTAACACAAACACCTACATGGAGAAGGGTGGACATGTCACACACAGGTCCTCCAACCTGCCACACACCCCTTTCTCCCTCCAGCCAAAGTCAGATCTACGGCTTCCAGCACACGGTGATGTTTGTCAGTACTAAACACTATGCTGCTGAGCAGCACACAGCTCGGGTCCCTCCAGGCACATGGACAGAAATGGCTTGGGACCAGCAGACACAGGCTACTGAGGCAACCAGACAACAGCAGGAGCTTTGCACTGACTTACACACACAGCTCTATGGTCTTTCCCCCCACTGCTCTCTATTCCTGTCTCTAGCACTCATAAATCTCTTCGCTTTGGTGATGAAGAGGCTAAAGAAAGGCACTTTCCTAAATGTGACACATTTTCTTTTGGCCAATTAAGGAATATATTTGCAATTTTAAGAGCAAATATTAAAAGTAAGAAAAGGAAAAAGTGAAGCCAATTTACTAACCACACACACTGACAAATCACCTTATCACAAGAGCCAGGATGACTCAGAAAACAAATCTAAATAGCTTCTGTGATTTAGCACTGACCGACACTCAATGTATTAAAATAAATTGCCCGTGATTTCTCGCAAGCTCCATGCTAATGCACTCCATCATATATCAGAGCAGCAGTGCATAACTATCTAGAGGCTTCAGTCAGTGGCAGATAACGTAATGAATTGTCTTCTCACCACACCAGGGAAAGGAAGTTAATCTGCATCTCCAGCCTTTCAGGGAATGTTCCAGGTTTGCAAAGCGTGAGTCAGCAGCACTGCTGCTCCATAGGTTTTTTTCCTACCACACTACCAGCACCACAGACTCTCCTGGCTTTCCCAGCTCTGTCAGGCCAGGCTCAGGTTTCCATCAGGGAACAGCACCTTTTGAATAAACGGGGCAGGTGAAATAATTGCCTTTTATTCATCACGTTGAAAGCCACTGCAGACCTGTATAATCACGACATAATTTTATACAGCAAAGAGTTTCACAGGAAGAAAGAGTTGCTAAGTAAAAGAAAGGGAAATTAGTATTTTACTAAATGTATTCTAATCTTTTTGTTGTTCCTGCTACTATGCTAATACCCAAACCACCATAGTTATCACAGCCAAGACAGAAACCACCTTTTTAAGTCCCATGAAGTTGGTGAATATAACCCTCCCGAAGAGCAAACTGGAATCTGACTTTGCACAGACCAAGAAAATAAGCAAGACGACAACATAAGCTTCCCAAATGAGTCTGGCAGCCTCCAGCCTTTCACACCAACTGAAAGGCTGCACCTAATCACTTCCTCCAATGGAAACCATGTGAGTTGAGATGAGCTGATGATGATTTTCTTCCCCCACTGATTTCTGTGCTTTGATGGTTGTTTTCCTGACAGGTTACACAGGGTATCCTTCCTGAAATTACTAAACCAAACTTCTGCTATTGCAATCTACTATCCTAACTCTTAATATTTAAACATAGCCTGAGATCAAGAGTACATTTTCCTTCTAGAAATGGAGAACAAAGCTGAGGTGAGTCATCCCTTCCCTCAAATGGTGAAAGCACCAGCACAAGCTCACCACTCACTGCTGACTCTGACTTTCCAAAGCAGGCAACGCACCCAGTGCTGACCAGCAACCAGAGCAACTCCAGCATGCACTGTGTCCTGTCCAGAGGACAGCAAAGGGCCACAGAGAAACTGGGACGCTCTGGTGCAAAGGTAATGGAAGATGCGGCAGGAGCAGAGAAGAGCAAAAGATGTAAACTCATATGAAACCAACTTTCTTCATCAGGACCATGATCCATTACAGTTGAGATCCACATCAATGGATCTCAACTCTAACCCATATAAACAAGTATTATGTGGATTACGTTCTCCCTAAGTAATAATTTTTGAGTCAACAGGCCAACTTCAGCCTCTTTTGATGCAGAAGCAGAGATAGCAAAGTTCCTACAAGTCGCACAAAAATAGATGTCCAAGAAGCTCAGACAGACCCTGCAAGTGACTCCTAACTCAAAGAAAAGCTATGACCCTTATTTGCCACTGAAACCTTTGCCTAGGAGACAGCCTTTCTAATCAGTTTAATCTAAACTGAGAATTTATCATCAAGTACAATAAATTATCAGGAACGTCATTCCATTGCTCAAAAAAAAAAAAAAAAAAAAAAAAGCTTGCTCTAAGTAACCATAGGAAAAAAACACAACATCAGTACTAGTGGTCTAAACCCAGCCCTGGTGAGAGAAGTGAGGATGTTCAGATCCTGCCTAAAACAGCCATCCAGCAGAACTCCTCCTTACCTCCATTGCATGTGCTGAGAAAACAGCCATCTACCAAGCACGGTTAAAAGCCAGACGAGAGCCTTGGGATGTGAGCAGACTGCAGGGCCAGGCTGGCTCCTGATGCCACTCCCCACAAGAAGCCCTGGGGACGAGCTAAGAGCTAATAACATGCGCTGCTTCTGAATGCCTTTGGCGCATTTGGTCACCGTGTCACTAAAGGAGAGTGCCATACATCACGTCATTCTGGGCACCTGCCCCAAAGCCCACAGACTGACTGACAACCCTCATCGCCACTGCAAGCTCTGCCTTCCCTTATCTTTCCCTATCAGCTAACGTTTTTCTTCTGATATTCCCAGCCTTACGCTGCACCTGTGGGCACAGAAATGTTAAACCTTGTTAATCCACATTTTCGTAACAAAATCAGTCCCTCTTAACTCTATTTCAAGAAAATAGTGTTGTCTGAAATTATTTCTATTTTTTGCCAGCATAGCATCTTTTTCTTCTTGGCAGCCAGAAGGATTAATTGGTAACGTGCATCTCAAAAGCTCAGATCAAGGGAAGAGGTTAAAATGACTGATAAACCAGAGGTGTAAGAAACATATGTGTATTGCTTGTTCAAAAATCAGAGAAAAATCCCCACACCAACCCTGCTTTACACACACATAGCTGACACCCTCTCTTTGTTTTCAGGAGACCGCAGAGATCTGATAAGATACTGTGCACAGAAGATAAGCAGCATTTCCATAGGAAACAAACCATTCAAACAAGAGGATCTCATTGCCAACAATTTTGATTCATTATGCAGTGGCACTGTAAAGACTGTGCAGTTCTACTTGTCAGCTAACAAACCACCGCTTCTATTTGTCAGAGATCCTTCGTTTTCCCTTCCCCCGTGCTGCAGCAAAACCTTGGATTTTGACATCAAGCCCAGCAAGCAGCGTTAGTCCTTGAGACACAGTTTGCAAAACATTAATGAAATCAGAATGAGACTGCAGCTTGGCTTGTTGCCCCTGGATAATGGAAGTGAAATTAAAAGTAGGGAGAAGAGAAGGGACCAGCTCTTAGCTAAAAACAGATCGCTGAATGCTTTTTTTTCTTGAGAATTCAAGTGTTTTGTATGCTATTTACTTCAGGTTTTTCTATTTCAATGAGTCAAGTGATAATCGATACCAGGAGGAAATAGCATTAAAAGCAACTAAAGAAAACTAACAAGAAAAGCACTCCTTTGAAGAATTTTATCTAGCCAGGAAAGCCTATTAGGCAGGAATACTTCCGCCAAAGACAAAAAGAATACAAGAGCCAAGAGAACAGAAAGATGTGTGGAAAAGGAAAGCGAGGAATGAAGTGGTATGTAAGATGACCAGGTGGGGAAATATCTTGAAGAATTCAGTAACGCTTTCCCCCAGAAGGAGCACTATCAGCCTCAGTAATTTACTGCAATGAAGTTGGTTATTCATAACATTTCAGGGATCCCTTGCTGCCAGCACTAGCCTGCATCCTTGCCATGCTGGAGTTCTGGCTCGGGGTTCTTGCTTGTTTGGGACTCCTGCTGGGCATTTCACGAGACCAGGCTTTCTCACTGAGTTAATATCATTCCCACTTTTAGCCACGCTAGAAATGCAACCACCTTTCCTACAAACTAAAACATGTATATTTTGCTTCCCGTCCTACAAACACACAAATTACTCTCAGGTCTAAATGCTGAGCTAAGATGTATGATGAGCTGTGATACCCGATAAGCACAATGCACGGTAACACCTCAAAGAGTTAAAGCAATCAAAGCCAAAAGGTATTAGGGGACGACAGAGCACAAACTTCTCTTGGGAACTAGCAACGGCGCTGTCAGAAAAATCCCGGTCCATGTGCTTTATTTTGCCATATGTAAATGATTTCTGAAGGCTGGGAGCTCAAAAAGCCATCAGATAGAAGCTCTGCCAGCACTGCTCCGCCCAGCCAGGCTGCTGAGACGCTGTACATAAAGCCCCAAGCTGAGCAACACCAATTCCTTACAGCAGTGAATGGGTTAAAAGAAGTTTCCCTCCTCCGTGAAAGCGATACGGCATGAAAACAGCACTATGCTTTCTGCTGCTGTGATAGATTGTACCTGTTCTGAGCAAGGCACTGAGTTTAACCCTGTTCTGGTGAGACTGCAAGCATTGCACGGATGCTGAAACCAATCTTAGACAGCCCCCACGCCCAGTAGAAATGGAGATGGGTCTGTATCCCACTTAGAATGAAGCAAGGCAAGCGCTCAGCTTTCTGTCTCACCCTTCGGTAGCCGCAGCTGAAAGGGCTAGTTAAATAGCCAGAGCATGTGCATACACATCCAAAATAACTTCAGAGCGCCTGCCCAAACAATTAAGAAAAAAATCTATACAAAGCTGCAACACAGCACAGTTCAGTGAAATCAAGAACACTGATTTTTGTTTAAAACAAGACAGAAAAAAAGAAAAGCCACAGAAAACAAAGAGCAATCCACTCCCTGCTACACATTCAATCACACATCCTCAAAACCCCATTCAAATACAGAGGTGCCCTACCTTTCCGATCTGTGAACAAGCAGATTCCGATCAGTGGATCACGTCAAAGACAAGATGATGGAGAATCTGTTAAAAATAAACCAAAGGTAGGGGAAAAAGAAAGAAAACAGTTCATTTTTGATGAAAAACAGCTTCCAGCGATGAAACAAGTTCTTTTTTTTCCATTATGCAAAAACCTGGATGCACACAGACATATCCGTACCAGTATCTGTGCATAAAGGCATGTGTGCTTAGAATAAAGATTACGTATGCACCGAGTAAATTTATCAGCAAAACTGCTGAAGTTTATTACCTACGCATTTTAATTCATTCGGTGTGCAGCACTACAGAATTCAATCTACAGCAGGCTAAACCCAAAAAGCTACAGCATGAAGGTATAACTTGCAAATCCTCACACAGCAAACAAAGCTGACATTTTAAAAAGAAAATCATTACCGGCTCATATGCTGCCATACCACAAAAGCCTATCCTTAAATAACTGCTGCATAATCATTCTCCTGGAGTGTTGTTATCCATCGGCTCGCTGCCTATCTCCAGACAGACGCAGTCTGCAAGCCACCAGCTTGTATCTACCATGGGTACGTCAGGAAAACTGCAAATTAGAAGTCGTCCCCGCAGTGGTGAAAAGGAAAAGAGGGTGAGTGGGAGAGGAAGAGGGAGTTCACTGGCCACAGAAATTTCCAGAATGATGACAAACCCACCAGCTCCGCCATCATCCACTTACAATAGGATGCTGCACCTCGTGGCTGCCTAAGCAGTTCGTCAAGGGCTTTCTGGTATCAACTGCCTGACAGGCATTTTAATTGCATGCAACCGAGTGCATCCCCAGGAATCGGGCCTTTAAGCCTATGCATATCATCAGCCGGTCCCTTTTGTGCCGCTGCCAAAGCACACAAGCGCACACGGCACACAGGCAGCAGCGCACACGGTTTCCATTGCGATGCCGATCCAAATCCTAAACAGGTTTTGCAGCCAGTACAGTGAAAAGGAGGTCTGAAGGGATTTAGCATTTTCTACATTATGGATTAGGGGCGAGATTCACTCTCCCTTTTCCTTTCTTTATCCCATGCTGCTATTCACATGTTGCAAGCAGCTCGTTTACACTATCATCTGAGCCTTGCATTTGTCTATCCACATTAGCGGGAAATAAAAACGGGCAGAACTCAGAAGTTCTGCAGAGAGGATCAGGGACCCTTCAGGACTAATAAATGACACAGGGCAGCAGCGACCGCTGCACAGTTGTGCTTGCACATGAGCTGCTGTGAGGTGTCCAGGCTTACTGCCCCACCCTCACCTGTGTGTTTCAAGGCCTCTCTCTGGTCATCCATCTGAGCATGACATGGGATCACTGAGCTGTGAAGCTGCCCTTTGTTTGTGGAGGAGATGTGGCACGGCTGGGGAGGGACAGGACAGAAGGAGCAGGGAATGAAAGAATTAAAAACAAAAGAGTTGAAAGATCAACTCATTTTCTTCTAATTTTGTAATTTTGTAATGAAACATCAGCACAAACATACAGAGGCTTTCAGCAATGGAGCAGTCACGAGAATCCAGCGAGTCCAACCCCACTGGAAAGGGCTGGAGATGAGTTCAGAGTTCCCTACAGTTGAAACACAAGCCAACCAGACCCACTCCCAATGTAAGCTCGTGCTTCTCTGGCCTGTGACAGCAGACCCCTTCAGAGAGAAGGATGCTCAAAGGAACAGAACATATCGCCCTGCCACAAAGCTTGGTAGAGGTCCAACAAAGCCCATTTACCTTTGAGAGAGAGACTGGGCTTGCAGGAAGGAGCAGCAAATCTCATGTGGGTTCTCAGCATTTCTCTCTCTCCCCTCAGACTTTGTAGGCAGAGGGCTGCGAAGGGAACCGATTCTCTCCTGCCTTCCCTCACAACTACAAGAAGATGACTCTTCACACATCCATCAAACTTCACGTCAATGAGAAGTTCCACCCTCGTCTCTCTCTACGAACAGATCCCAGTGCCTCAAAAGCACCTGCCCTACCTGCTTCCCCCCCCCTCTAAAGCATCACAGCTGTGAGGAGGAGGAAGCAGAGAAAGGCAGCCCTCATAGACAACCTGTAAGGGACAAGAATAAGGATGGAGCAGGCGGCAAAAAGGCCTTCAGAAGGAATGGAAAATCAAGCAAGAGCAGCACTAGCGCAATTCTTAGGCTTCTCCTCTAAGAAAGCCTCCTGTGACTCACCGGAGGGGTGCCTGCTGCTGCCAAACCTCCCACTGCAGAGCTCATCCACTGCAGAATCTTCTCCTGCCCTCGTCTTGCTCAGCTCCCCCACCTCCCAGCTGGTGCTGGCTCCCTGCCCTGCTGCCAACCTTCCCACACCCCCATGGCCACCTCCTGCCTGTCGCTTTTCCCCCAGCATTCCCCCAAAGCAACCAGCAGCTCAGGGAGGTCCCCAAACCAGCATCTGGGCTGGGAGGGTCAAGGTATTACAAGAAGTCCTGAAAACCTCCAGAAGCTTCTCTGAGATGTTCCTACTGACCTCTCAAGGTTCACAAAGGACTGATGTACGTTACCAAGCTATGCCCTATACCCCAGAGCAGAAAGTATTCCTGCAGAGCTCAGTGAAGCTCTGTAGGATAGGGCACTCGGTTTCATTATCGTACTTAGATTTTGCTTATAAGACCCAGCTGCATTCTGGGTCACACTGTGCAAGGTGCTGAGCAAAACAAGAGAGGGTTTCTATCACAACTTGTTATTTGAAAGATCCAAACCACAGAGAGGCATACTAGCAGCATTCTACTCGTTTTAAAAGGTGATGAAAAACGTACAGTTAAGGCAAGCCCAAGCCCACATACAACCTCTGTAGCCAGTCTAAGGTGGAAGATCCTCCCAGATCCTCAACCTCAGCTCTTAACTCCCAAACCCCTGCCAAAACCACGCAGCCTGCCTTTAACAAAGTACTGGGGGGTTGGTTGCTTCTTTTTAGCAATAGGTTGGGTGAACATTTTATGCAATGCCTAAAATAGCATCTAATATGATCAGTGATGTAGATGAGGAGGAATAAGCCTGCTGAACAGAAATTGCACCACTCTGGTAAAAATAGTCCTGGAACATGGAATTTTCTTTTTATGCTTTCTTGTTGTAGCACTTAGAATGGCACTGGGGATGGCTGCCTACTGGAGAGGCTGAGAGGAGATGGGCTTTTCTAGACTAAGTACTGCCTGTTCTTCTGCAGTAGTAACAAACATTGGAGCATCTATTCTACCAGCCATTTGATGGAGAAACTTGCTTTTCTTCCCCTCCTCCCTTCCTCGAACAGGAAAAAAACAAAGAGGAAGACAGTAATTAATTCCAGAACAGCACATGCAGCATGCCACACCAGCTCCTTCACAGGAGTTCTATGGTGTAGAAGCTGGGGCTGGAGGCACGGTCAGCATCTCTATGGTTACTGGTACAGCAAGGAAGAAGGATGGGGAGGATATAGCAAAGGCTGAAGGAGCAGCTTTTGCAGCAGCAAGGGGCAAAGGATTTCAAAACAGGGTGAAAAGTGTCTGGATGTGGGGTTGAGTTTAGCCTCCTTGTTTTTTTTCCACTCCAAGGACTAAGTATGCAAAAGAAGCCCCATTGTGCAGTCAGCTCCTCCAGAGTCTCTTCAGTTGGGATAATTTCTTCCCATTAGCCGTGCCCTCTGCCTTTGCACCACAACATATTCCATCACCTTCCTGGGACAACCTGGCCTTCCCCCCAGCCCAGAGACACATCCTGGTGATGCTGCCCTCCCCAGCAGCCATGCAGAGGCCTGTTGTGCCTCATAGCGCAGCCAGCTGACACAACTGCAGCTCCTGTGTGGCATCACTACAGAAATGAGCCTCTGGAGCCCAGGCAACCTACGTCCACTCTTCCCCTTACATCTCAGCTTATTTGTTTTTGAAATGTCAGACGGATATTTTCAGGCACAATCTCTCCTTTGTGAATCCAAACCGACTTCTCAACTAAATAACAGATTTGAAGAATACCTAGGAAGGGAGCCCTCATTTCCATTTCACTCCATGCCAGCACGTTGCTGAAATCACACTGAAGGATGTGGGATATTCAAATCCTTCCAGGTCTGCTTTTTAGAAATGCCAGTGCTGCACAGAACCCTTTGAAGCTGTCATAAACACATTTCCAGGTTTTCTTAGAAAATCTGTGGTTTTCAGTTAAGTGATCAATAGAGCAAAAGAATAAGAAAGCAAGAGTCGTGACAGATGCTGGTTAGCTCCCAGATCTTGTATGTAGATACAGCATAATTACTAATAACCGCTGCAGTATCAAGTTTTGTATAGCTGCCTCCTAATAAGGCAGCAACAGCCAGATGGAGGGAACAGCCCTGACTCAGTGCTTGTTTGGCCCACTCAGGGGATGCCCGGTACCACTGGTGGCCCAGCAGAACTCCCTGGGCTCAAAGCCCATCCACGACAGAAAAGCAACCCGACCTTCAACATGGCAGAAGCAAACCTCAGTCTCAGAATCACAGAAACATCTGTGTGATCCCACCGGCAAAGCCACAGAGTGCCTTACCACAGACACATCAGCCCAGAGACTTCCTCACTGCCCCTGGAAGCTGGTTTCAACTTCCAAGTGATTCCCCAGCTTGTGATATCACGAATAATCAACAGCACCAACACTGCTACATAAAGCAATGCCACTTCAGCATCGTGGCTTTCTGCAAAAGCAAGTTCTGGAGCTGTGCACGCATACACACACAGCCTATTTGGGGGCTGCAAGACAACTGCACAGTCAGCACTATGTTACAAGGAGGCTCAGAGATCAAAGGTGCTACCACAAAGCTTCTGCCATACAGTCCAGAGCCGCTGCAGGTAGATAAATGCTGCCTACAAGAGAGTCATCACCATTTTAAACATGTCAGTGAAAGAGCAGAGTTTATTCTTCTTTTTTATTTTTGTCTTTAATTTCATTTCCCATGGAGAGATAACTGGCATGCATTGCCACGTAAAGCAGTATCTGCAGCATTACAGCTACATCGAGCTAGTAAGGGAAATCAGGTTTTCCAGGAAAGGTATTCGCTCCTAAGAGAGAATAGTGGTACACAACGCAGTCAAAATG